AGAGAATTATTTTTTTTAAGAAACTAAGCTAATACATTAAAATCGAATCATTTTAAATAAATTCTACACAAGCGACATGACAAAAAACTTGGATCGTATGGAAATTGTATAAAAAAATTTTTTGATTGTCAATATTTTTTTTAAAAAATTGATAATTTTTTATAGAAAATACTATTAATAATAATATTTTAATTATTTAAATGTTAATTAGTTATTTTTCTAGAGGTCTGAATTTCTTTGGATAAACGTCCTTAAAAAGTAATTTTTTAAAAGTTTGTAGTTGATAATAAGTGAATCTTCTTTTTGTTTTTGAGTTGCAAAAATGCACCTGTAAGCTTATAAGTTGTATAGATAGTATATAGCATATCAGAAATTTATATGCATCTGAATACTTACATAACTCAAAGGTGATTGCTCACTTTTTAACAACAAAATTATGTGACCAAGGTTTTTACTTGATCTATTTTGGTTTTATAGTGTAACTGGGATTAATTATTAATTTCCATGGAGTTTTTAATGGAGTTCGTATTTTTATAATATTCTTGTCCCTTCCTGATTTTTGGGTTGGTTTTGGATAAGAATTGTCTCAGGGTGGAGAAAAAAAAATTGGAAAATTGTAATGATTAGATCCCTGAAAAGGAAAATGGTGAAAAACTCGTTAGGCCAAGGATGGTATTGAGCTCTTCAAGTTCAGCCTTGCGAAAATAGGAGTTGCTTGGGCGTACTTAAGACAGGGATGTTTTTGTGTGGAAGAGATTTTAAAGTGTTTGTAGTTTCTAATAGATGGAGCCAAAATTCACCTTTTCAACAAGTTTCTGTAAATTTTACATAATTATGTGTTGAAAATGAATTAACAATATTCATATTAAAGAAAGTTATTAACAATTAATTTTAAACAACAATTATAAAATTTTATAAAATAATTAATTTTTAAGAATTTAGAATTTGGATATAGACAGATTTTGATAAACTATTTTGTAGGGGACGTCACATAATAGAATATTCAGAATTCAGTTACAACAAAAAGTATATATTAAACCTCCTCCGGTTTTATCATTTTTCAATTTTGCAGGACATAAAGTTATAATTATAATTTTGTTAAAATTAATTTTGACTATTTCATATTTATTTTGATATTAAATACAACTATTCAGCTTCAAGTTACACTAAGAGTTTTATGTATATGACTCTCGAATTCAATTTTTTAAAATAAATAAATGAAAGATGTACCCCGACCCTACTGAAAAAGAACGACTGTAAATACGAGCGTAAATATGACTGTGAATACGACCCTAAATACGGGCCTTAGAAGGGTAGTGTAATTGAAACAGCAAATACAGCCGTATTTATGCCCGTATTTAGGGTCGTATTTACGGTCATATGTGAATACCATTTTTAAAAAAAAATATATATATATACCCCCACAGCACCGAAACTTTCCTAACAATTTATTGAATATTTACTTGTAATATTCGGCATATTTAACTGAAATGTTTAGTGAAAATTGTTCTTTACACAACTTTCAATAAACATTGCAAGTAAATATTTAATAAATTTTTAGGAAAGTTTCGGTGCTGTGGGGATATATAATGGAACATTATTAATTATTATTAATTTAATATATTAAATATAATATTGCAACTAAAATAAATAATATTTAAGGTAAGTATTGAAAAACGATTTATTCTTATAATAAATGCATAACAAACAAACAAATATATAAATGTCACTTTATTTTAATCACAAACACACATATACACATGGTACAATTATTTATTAAAAATTGTAATTTTTATTATTTTTATTATAAGAGAAAAAACACAAAAACACAAACGCGCACAATAAAAACACTTGTAGATTTTTCAACAGCTAAACAAAAACGACAAATAACGCGAATCACATGTAACTGTAAGAATTTTTTTATTATTTTTATTATAAAAGAAAAAACACAAAAACACAAACGCACAATAAAAACACTTGTAGATTTTTCAACAGCTAAATAAAAACGACAAATAACTCGAATCACATGTAACTGTAAAGGCCAACGCAGAATAGATCTGTAAACGGAACCGCAATCGTAACCGTAAGCGTAAGAATGAGTTAGAGAAGGATAAACAATATATAGAATTCTTGATTTTATCACTCGGTCAAATTAATAATATGTAAGATGTAGACTATCGATCACTCCGAGTCAAATTCGACTCGAGTCAAATTTGACTCGGAGTGATCGATAGTCTACATCTTACATATTGATAAACAATATACCTATCCTTCTTTAACTCATTCTTACGGTTACGCTTACGATTGCGGTTCCGGTTACAGATCTATTCTGCGTTGGCCTTAAGCACTGTTGTAAAAAAGGTTGGGTCTATAGGGATGGGTAGTTACACGTAACTTGAAATATTAATAATAAATGTAATAATAATAATAATACTAACAGAAATAATAATAGTATATTTATGAACTAGATGTAATTAAGAAGTTTAATTACTATTTTAAAAACAAACAAATTTAGTATATTTTGTTTGTTGTTGTTATAGCAAAAATCGATAGAAATATTAGGTTAAGTCCACAATAGATAAATATAAAAAAAATAAAAATAAATCAAAAAATATAAATTCGCACAAAATTAATACCTCCTCGTGTGATTAGATTGTAATTAAAATGTAGTTTTCTAAAAATAAATCGAAAAGTTTAGGGTTCAGTGAAAATTACCGAAAAATGTCAAAATCGCCTTCCGTTTACACACCTCATTGTAAAGGTCTTTCTGCAATAGCTTGAAAATACATTTATTTCTTCCGATTCAAATTAATTGCAAATATAAATTGCTGCAATTAAACTTACTTTAAATCATTAACTTCAAAGCAAATTATAGTAAATTATATATGCAGAATATGCGATTACTTAGCTTCAGACAAAACAAATGTATTTTTAAGATAATATAGAAAAACATTTACAGTTTTGTGTGAAGGCAATTTTGACAGATTTTTGGTAAATTTTTTTTCTACCAACAGTTGTGTAAATGCACTTTACAAATAACAAAAGGGTCAGAATTCGTGAAATTTTCACAGAAAATAAAAAGTATTTTATTTAAATCGAAATGTTAAAAAAACATTTCTATTTGGCTTTAAGAATGTGTCCACCAAAAAACAGAAAAAAAATTATTTTTTATAAAATTTATTGCAAAATTAATTTTTTTGCAACTTTTTAAACAAAATTTGATTTCTCCTAAATGAATGAACCGATTTAAATGAACCAAGCAGGAATATAAAGGGGATAAAATATACTTTCGTTCAGAATTAGAAAATTTTAAAAAAGTTTTTTTTTTAATAAATTTTTTATAAACAATTAATTTTATTTAATGTTCTACGCACCGAAAGCTTACTAAAAATTTATTAAATATTTACTTGCAATGTTCGGAATATGTAATTGCAATGTTTATTGAAAGTTGTGTAAAGAACAATTTTCACTAAACATTTCAGTTAAATATGCCGAATATTACAAGAAATATTCAATAAATTTTTAGGAAAGTTTCGGTGCTGTGGGGGTATATATATATATATATTTTTTAAAAAAATGGTATTCATATATGACCGTAAATACGACCCTAAATACGGGCATAAATACGGCTGTATTTGCTGTTTCAATTGCACTACCCTTCTAAGGCCCGTATTTAGGGTCGTATTCACAGTCATATTTACGCTCGTATTTACAGTCGTTCTTTTTTAGTAGGGGAGTATACTCGGGGTTAGCCGTAGGGAGGTTAAACAAGTTAATTTTACATAACACAATTTCGGAAAATTTTTTTCGGAAAAATGACCAGGAATCTTATTTGAATGTTCTCTTACTTTAACTGTCAGGAATAAAATCCACACATTTTTTTAGATTTTTCGTTATGACTTTCCAAAGCATTCAGATGATCATAAAAAGATCCAAGTGTAGCTATAAAAAATCATCTATGTACATTAAGGTACTACTACACTTTAGAATTTAAAAAAATTTTATTTTTTTATTGTATTTTTTAACTCCTTATTATTTCAGAAAACACCTCCTAAAGTATTTATAACCAATTGTAAAAAATAAAAGTAAATTTTTCAAAAAATATTCAATTAATGTAAAAAGTCATTGACAAATTAAGTAAGTCTTTAAGGGGATGGAGGGGTCCAGCTTTTTGTTACAACCAGTAGAAACATTGGTGCTAATGTATGTAACAGTGTCTGAAATAAAAAAAATGGTGGGGTTTCAATTTGCAAAAGAATTTTAGGTAATTTATGGATGGCCTCTAACGATACATATAAGTTTAAACGCGTTTTTCTCAAATTGCGGACAGTTTATCTCTGAATCTACTGAACCGATTTTAATAAATGATAACTCGTTTTGTTTGTTAGCATGTCCTGTGTGACAATTTACCAGAAAATGGTCAAAAAATTTAAAAAAAACATTTTTGCAGACTAGAAAAATACTGAAAAACATAGTGTTTTTTGACAAAAATTATTGAAACATCTGCTATTTTCTTATTTTAGTCGATTTTTCATTATTGGTGGTAGATTTCTATGCAAGACACCTTCCTTTTTAAAAAGCAATTTGGATTTTTGTTTCCGATTTGTCAATCTTGAGATAAACTGTCCGCAATTGGACAACTAACTTTTTGGAGTTTCGATCTGAATACTGTCTGCAGATTATGATATTAAATAAAAATTAAAAAACAAACCATAATTTTTATACTCCAAATGTGTAGTAATATAGGCAAAAAAGTTTTTTAAATATTTATAATAAAAGACCTGAGAAAAAATTTTTTTAAATTTGGTCTTTTAAGAGCCTTCTAAAGTGTAGTAGTACCTTAAGAGAACATCACGAAATTGATAATAGTAAACATCGTAAACATTTTAAAATAATAATAATAACATCTTAAACATATTATAAATTTAAATAATGAATGATCATTCATTTGTCCAACATTTGTCTCACAATGTGATTACATTCTTATTTTCTACTTTTAGATGCAAATCAAAACGGAGAAAAAATTGGTAATGCGAGTAGTGCGATTGAAAATGTTCTTGAGAAAGGAGAAGTTGAAGCAACCAAAGAGGGAGAGAAAGAAAAAGAGAAGGATAAACTAAAAGGAAAATCTGATAAAGATGGCGAGGCTGACAAAGATAAAGACTCTTCAAGTGAACAAGAGGTTGTATTCATTCAGGATATGGGCTTCACTGTTAAGATAGTAAGTCCTGGAGCAGATCCTTTCGATATTCAGGTCTCCAGCATGGAACTTGTACAGGTAAAATGCCCAATTTTTCATTTATTCAATGAAAATGATTGTCTTAATAGAATAATTCGATCTATACTCGTTTATTAACCATCTAATTATCTTTAACAAATTAATATACGTTAATAAATTGGGAGATTTACTTTAAACGTTCGAAATAAAATTTAGTAATTTCGAACTTTTCATTTGATAAATATTTTATAAAATGATTGCTACTGAAAATTTTAGGTTTATAAAAATTCAGATAAGTAATAACGATGGTACAAATTATTCGCTTAGGAAATTCATCAACTTTTGATGGATCGTGAAGATACTTGTCATCGAACGTGTTTCTCTCTCCAACTTGATGGAAATACATTGGATAATTTTGCTGAATTGAAAAATATTGAAGGTTTAAAGGAGGGATCTGTGATCAAAGTTGTTGAGGAGCCTTATACGATGCGCGAGGCTCGCATTCACGTGCGGCATGTTCGGGATTTGTTGAAATCCGTTGATCCCGCAGACGCATACAATGGTGTTGAATGCAGTAGTCTTTCATTTTTAAATGTTATCACTAATGGTGACATCATGGAAAAAAAGAAATCTCGAGCTGATTCCGTTGATTGCACTCCGCCTGACTACATCATACCAGGTTGCAAAGATAGACCCTTACTACCTCTGCAACCTCAAGCGAAGGAACAAAAATGTCCACCCTGTCTGAAGGTAAACTTATTTAATTTCTCTTTTTGAAGAAGAATTGTACAGTCAGTAAATAAAGGATAGTATTTAATAATTGAATATTTTATTCAATATAAATCTGCCAAACAATAGTCAAACGAAACAAGTAATTTAAATAGAAAATATTTTATAAAACTGATTTTCCTTAAATAATTATATTACATTAATTAAAAATGTATCTATTACTTTGTGTACAGTTCCTCTTTAACCCTTTTTAATAGTTGTTATATATTTTAGACCGTTTTTATCTATATTTATTGCAGTTGTAAAGTAACACAAATATTTCTTTTACCATTCTGTTGCTTGTAAGTCGCTGATTACAAATCTGATGTAAGAATTCAAGTGGATTTTAGATTGGATAAGATTCGCCTACAATTTGTTGCTTGGGAGTTTTTAAGTTTGGTGATTACAAAACTAGTGTCTATAAAATTCAGAAAATAAAAAAAATGTTCCTGTTATTAGCCTACAAAAATAAAATGTATAAACACTCCATTTCATATCTAAATCTGATTTCAGAAACACAGTGATCATTTTTACATTTTTAAAATCTGACAACAGATTCGTAATCAGCAACCCGAAAAACCTAACTACATATCTATGTTTCATTGAAATTGATTAATTTAAAATTTTTTATGACCGTCATTTTGATTTTTTGAAATCTGACATCAGATTCGTTGATTCGTAATCAGCGACCCAAAAAAACCCATAGATACCTATGTTTAATTCGAATTTATTGATTTTAAAATTTTTATCTCCGCCATATTGGATCCGCCATTTTGAATTTTTGAAATCTGACATCACATTCGTATTGAAAAAATATGAAAAGGCGCAAAATGGCACATATTGGCGTCAAAGTAGACATGCTAAGTAATCGTTGTATAACTTGTTTTCCCAAATATTATGCGGCTCGGAGGAGCTCGACTAACTGAAAGTCGGCGCTTTATTGAAAAATCCACTATTTGTTAACTTCAATGGAGCTACATTTTAATACATTTTTTTTTAAAGTAACTATAGGTTTTTTTTACTTCAATATATCTGTTGATGAGAAAAAATAAGTAGGGGAGAGTCTCCAGTTGTGAGACACCTCTAGTTGTGAGACAGTCAATTTTTTTTAACATGCAATATTAAAAAGCCGATTGGTTTATATAAAAACATTTCTTTTTATATGAGCCAACTTTTTCGTGTACGCTGAAGCGGATATATAAACTGTTTTTGTTAAATACCAACACTGTGTGTGATAATCGACTAAAAAGCGTTTTTTCAATAAATGCAAAGTACTTTTTTTCCAAGTTAATTAATTGGAAAAGGTAAATGTAATGCATTTTCTTTTAGTGTTTTCCTTATATTTTGTGATGCAATATTGCATTGTTCCAATCTACGGTTGAAAATAATTTAATTTTCCTTTTTCAAAATAGCGCCAATTTCTGGGTGTGAGACACAGCATATCACCAGTTGTGAGACGGTGTCAACACCCATCTGGGCAGCATAAAAAATACGACTTTGCAGGCATACTATTTAAATGTTGTTTTGATTTTTTTTCTAGTATTTTTGGGCATGTCAAGTGGAAAAAAGTCAATTGATTCAGAAGAAATCAATTTTAATGCTCTTGTTCAAGCTATTAAATTGTGTTTATTTGATAGTCATATTTTGGCGAATAAATATTATTATTTAGTATATAATAATATATATTATTAATATATTTAATTATTTCTACTAAACATAACGTTTTATGTCAAACTTATTAAATTTTAGCAATTTTTAATGAGTGTCTCACAACTGGAGACATTTTTTTTTTTTGAAAAAAGCGATGTGCTCGGAAAATGTATCGTAAAATTTTTTGAGTTCATCGAAACACTATACTTTCTTTTAATAAAAGTTGCGTATTTCTGTTACCTTTCGAACGGTGTATTTTATTAACAATTTCGTTTACCCGTTTACAATTTACGGGTCAAAAATGAAACCCGTCTCACTGGAGACTCTCCCCTACTTATACAAAAATAATTAATTTATTTCTATAGATATAATAAGTATTTCAATTAAAAACATTTCATTATTTTAGCTTAAATGTTAAACTTTAAATAGTTCTAGAAGACACAATTTTGTATTATTTAACAAATCCTTTATGCAATAAATTCCTTATTTACTATTAAATACTGTGGATAAATTCTTTTGTGCATATTTGAAAGTTGAAAAATTGTATTTTTGGCCAAAATTCGACGATTCTGGCCCACTGTGTTGCGTAATTAATGCCTCTGAATTAACTTGAATTCTTTAAAGGACATTAAAGGGAATTCAGATTCTGGTCACCGGTTTGTTTCACAAAATTGAATTGGATAGAAATGAACAACTTAATAATAGTAAAGGAATTCATTAAGATTGCGGATAAAAGCGGAATTGGTCACACTACCTGTGAGGTTCCGATAAAGGCGCGTTAAGTTTTTTAACAGTGAACCCATATTCAATCCTCCATTTTTAATTTTTAAAAACTAAGAACGGATTCGTAATCAGCGACTCCAAAAACCCCCCGAGTAACCATTTTGAAGCAATTTTAATGAAATTTAAAAGTATTTTGATAATTTTTTTAAAAATTCCACCATATTAAATCCGCCATTTTGAATGTTTTGAATTTTTTAAATCTGACTTGAAATTCGTAATCAGCGACACCAAAAATATAGGAAAACGAAGTATTGTTTACTAAATGTTAATGAAATAATTAGTTTGTTACACAACTGTTTTTTTATAAACAGTCAATGTTCTTTCTATTGTTTAAAATAAACGTTACTACTTTTTGTAATTTATTATTTTTTTAATTGTAGCATCCTCCATTTGGAATAGAAAGAAATTTCGGAAGCACGAAAGGGGTCGCGTTTCGTTTAACAAAGCTTTCTACTGTTATGTCTTAGAGTGAAACTAAAAATAACCAAAATTTATATATTTAAATTGTCAGTCAGTCCGTCATCGGTGATTCAAATCTGATTTATTCATAGAGAGGAGGGCTCTGATATTAAGGGACAGGTTTTAAGAAATAGTAACTGTTAAATTGAAGTTTAAATTTTTAAAGTTTTATTTGAATCCTTTACAATTAGAATCAGAGAGAAAGAGTATATCCAAATGTCTTCTGGGACATTGAAACAGAATTTTAACTTTGTAGAATCAATCGATTATTTAAATAGGGACAAAATTTAAAGGTATTAGTTACTTACCATTTAAAATTATTCTTAGAGTCGTAGACCCAACAGGCGATATCTCCTTCAGTGTGAGGTCGAAGAAATGACGTTGTCCAGCGGAGACAGAATGCAATAGATTTTCCTTGAATTGCTTTTGGGCCAGACAAAGTTTATGGTTCGGAGTCCAGGTGTTGATGTAAATTAGATGTACACCCCTCAGTTTAGGAGTGACCGAATTATTTATATGAAGTCGATGTCGAGGTAATGCACTTCTTAGAAAAATAGAAATGTGCCTCGCAGTAGAAATTATCTCCTTGAATGAATTTTGACTATAGGACGAGACTCGAAGAAGGCACTTGGTACTAGAGGAGATTTTCTGGACTGGAGTCGAAAAATAAACTCGATGACAATACACAACTTGTTAATTATTTGGTCGCGGTTTCTGGACTGACACGAAAAAGACGCGAAGTTGATTAGGTGGTGACTTGTGTCTTTTTAAGTTTCCTGGACTAATACGAGAAAGACACATGGGGGTAGTATACGAATACTTAACTTGGTGGCGATTCCTGGACTGGCGAATTTGGCGAGGGTGAAACCTTTTATACAGTGCCTTTCAATGGAAAAAAATTATAATGCCACCCACTTTTATTATTATTGGGTCAGTTTTATTCTATTGATTAATTTAGGCGCGCCTGTTTGGTCCCGTATCAGATAGGTGAGTAACCTTATAGAAGGGTGACAATAGTGGATGTCCATATATGGTAAAGTCTGTTCAGGCGACACACATTTTGGATCGATTTCTTTGGGTTACAAGAAAAAGGGAAGATTCAGTTTCTAATTTTACAAATATTAAAACAAATACGTCGCGATGAAGTGATACTACTCATTAACTGTCTACTAGAACTACTTCTTGCCGCGTACTTAAAATTTTTTTCTGTAACTTTATCCTTTTCTCTTGACAGCTCTCATAAAAAATTTACAATTGTTTTATTACTTCTGTTACTATATAACTGTTTAACAAAATATCTATATTGACATTTAAAGATCAAATAAACATTTAGGTTTTAACAACTTCGGGATGGAATCCACCACCAGGTCACAGAAAACTGCACGGCGATTTGATGTACTTGCACGTTATAACGTTAGAAGAAAAGCAGTATTACTTGACAGCTTGTGCTCGTGGCTTTTTCGTAAATCAATCTTCCAAAGAAACATTCAGTCCGAAACCAGCCACTCCAAGTCATCTCTGCCACAGTCTCATAGAACTACTTAATCAACTGAGTCCTGCCTTTAAGAGAGGCTTCGCAGCTATGCAGAGACGAAGGACATTGAGACATCCATTCGAGAGAGTAGCGACTCCATACCAATTACATGCATGGTGTGCTCCTCAAATTGAACACACAATTGATGCGATTCGTGCCGAAGACAGTATGTTTCACATATCAATATTTATTTATTTTTCATCAAATTAATAAACACTAGTCACTTATTTAATTACATTTCTCTTCCTGATAAATTAAATAGGAAATTATTTTTTCTTTCAGCGTTCTCTTCCAAGCTTGGATATGAAGAACATATTCCAGGACAAACTCGTGATTGGAATGAGGAATTGCAGACAACAAGAGAACTGCCACGAAAAAATTTACCAGAAAGATTGTTGAGGGAACGAGCAATTTTTAAGGTTATTAATTAATTTTGTCGCTTCATGCTTTGTAAAAGGGAAAATTGTATTAATTTCTATTTTCGACATAATCATTTTTATCGTAGCTGAATTTTATTTAGGTTCATAGTGATTTTGTGGCTGCCGCTACTCGAGGCGCTGTGGCAGTAATTGATGGCAATGTTATGGCTATCAATCCTGGAGAGGAGCCTAAGATGCAAATGTTCATTTGGAATAATATATTTTTCTCTCTTGGATTCGATGTAAGAGATCATTATAAGGAGCTTGGTGGCGATGCTGCAGCCTTTGTTGCGCCTCGAAATGACCTTCAAGGCGTTCGAGTGTATGCTGCTGTCGATCTTCCTGGACTTTATACTCTGGGAACAGTTGTAATTGATTATAGGTGAATTTTCATTAACAATTATTTATATTTATATTATAAATAACATTCTAATGTTTATTTTTCTTTACTACAGCGCATATCTCTAGAAACCTTTAACTTTTCAATAAGAGAAAAATTTTTTATTTTTTTAGCACAGTTTTTTAGAATAGAAAACCATTGTTATTTTAAAAGATTTTCTTTATGAAATTTAATGAAAATTCTTCATTTTTAAAAAAATATTATTTTTCAAACAGTTTTTCCTTAAATTTAAAAAAATTAAAAAATTATTTGAACAACTCGTGTGGAAATCGACAAGATATTTCTAACAACAACTCTTATGTGAAATATTTTTGATTAAATAATTGAAGTTTCGAGTACCACTGGAACTTTAAGAATTTTTAAAGAAAAATAATGTAAATAATATTTTTTTATACTTCTCTTAGATTTTCAAAGAATTTAATTAAAAAATTTTTTACAAATTTAATTAACTCCTAAAATAATATTTAAAAGCTAAATTTATACGCCACAAATCTATAATTTAACAGCAAAATTAATCCATAAGAATTTGAGAGATTGAGATGTTGCTCTAAAAAAAGAAGAGATAATACTTTATTCTTTTTTTTATAACAGAGGATATCGAGTTACTGCTCAATCTATTATACCAGGCATTTTGGAACGTGAGCAAGAACAATCGGTGGTTTATGGTTCCATAGATTTTGGAAAAACAGTTTTGTCGCATCCAAAGTATCTTGAATTGGTAAGATAATCAGAATATTTTTATAAATGTTATGTTTAAAATTATACAATAATAAATTGTATAAAAGAGAATTATTTTCTTTTGGAAAAGAAAGAGAATTATTCTCTTTTTTAATTATATTAAAAAAATATTTATAATGACGTTAATAACTTGAACATAATAGTTACAAAAAGGTTCAAATAATTACGATTATTTTTATAAACTTTAATATTTATTGTGTAAAATTAATTTCACAAATCGTTTGCTTAAATATTTACTTTTTATTGAAAATATCATTGCAATTATCCGTATAAAATATTTATAATTAATTGAATGTTAAACAATTGCAATTTATTGTTGAAAACATTGAAAACTAATCGTAGGGTTCTTAATTAGAGTCTTTCAATTTGCAGGCTTCGCACTCATCTACTAAAATCTACTATTTACTACTTTTTCACGATTTGATACTATTTGAATATTTTTTTTAGATTTAAGACACTATAACCTACTTTTTTCTTTACTTTTGAGAACTTGCACAACTTTAAATTCGCTAAAAATAATTTAAAAATAATTTTAATAAACTTCTTAGAAATGATTAAATTATTTTCAATTACTATTTTAATAAAATTTTCTATTTTCTATAAGAATTCAATTATTTAACAGAATTTTAATAAAATTCTTCGCAAACATTCAATTATTTTCATAAATAATAAAACTTTTACAGGAATTCAATTATTTTCATAAATACTTAATAAAATTTTTACAGAATTTCAATTATTTAAAATACAATTTTCACTCAATTTTTTCGAAAAGATCAATTATGAAATAAAATTTCATGAAAGAATTGAATTATTTTTAAAAATTTTAATGAAATTCGTCAACATAATTTGTAAAAATTTAATTCTTCTCATAAGTAATAAAATTCTTCACTGTAATTCAACTGTTTTCATAAATAATAAAATACTTTAAATAAATTCAATTTTAAGAAATATTCAATTATTTAATAAATTATTTTTTTTTATATTTAAATATAATAATTGAATTCTCGTAGATCTTTTTAATAAGAAATTATTTCAAAATTTAATTTCAATTGAAATTTTTAAACAGTAATTGAATATTAGAAGCGTTATGGCGTAAATTTATATAGAAATAATTAAATTGCACAAGATTTTTAAATTGATATCTTTGAAAATTGTAATTCTTATAAAATCATAATAGTATTGAAATGTTTATTTTAAAAAAATTATTAATTTATTGTTTTCTTTAAAAAAAAATAAAGTTTTGAATAATTTTAATTACAAATTTTAACAAAAAAATTACTGAATTTTGGAAGAATTACATTTGTAACTTTTTGAAATTGTTACATTAATTTGATTTTACAAAGTAATCTCATTTAAAATATTTTAATTCCTGTGAAAAAAATAAATAAGTAGGTATTTAAATATTTATTTAACAAAAATTATTCAAGCTTTGATGTAATTTAATTTGGAAATTGTGAAAAAAATTAGTCTTTTGAAAAGTTGTAATTAAAATGTTTTGAAGATAATTAAATTTCCTCGTAAATAATTAAAAAAAATTATATTATATTTCCAATTATTGGGAAATTTTGTCAAATTTAATTGAAATAAATTTTATTTTTTTACTTTTAAAAATTATTTTTAAATATAATCGTATTTTTGAAGAATTTTAAATTAAAGTTTATAAAATTATTGAATTTTGTAAAAATTTAGAATGCAAGTTACTAGCAGTATAAGAAAAAAAAAAATATTTTTGTGAAAATTAGGAAACAATGAGGAAAATAAAGTGCAGAATAAAATTTTTGTGAATCGTCTAAAACGAGTTTTTTAGTCGACAAATTAAATTTTTAATAGCTACTTTTTTTGTTCTTAAAACTACTTTTCGATACTTTTTTAAAATTAATTATCAAGTGCGAAGCCTGTTTTTTTGAAAATTGACAAAACTTTACTGTTAGAAAAAGTGTTAATTGTCTATCAATATGGCATCTGTTGAGAACATGAAAATCAAATACTAAAACTAAAAAATAAAATTTACCATCTTAAACATATAATATGACTAACTTCAGTTGTGGGAAATTTGAAAAATGAATAAATAAATGAAAGAATATCTGTATTTTTATAGTTAATTATTTTTATCTGCAGCTAAATAAAGCTGGTCAACAGCTGAAAATTTTACCTCACAAAGTTATAAATGATGCAGCAGAAGAAATAGAGCTTTGTAGCAGCGTCGAATGTAAAGGAATCATCGGAAATGACTCTCGTCATTATGTTTTGGATCTTTTGAGAACTTTCCCTCCAGATGTAAACTTCCTAAAATGTATGTTTTAAAAGTGGAAGAATCTTTAAAGATTATTTAATTATTGCTTGAATGTAAATTTAAATTTTTCTTTTCAGTGGATAACGTTGAATTGAGTAAAGAAGCTCGAGCTTTAGGATTTCCTGTAGAGCACAAACATAGATTGGCCTGTCTTCGTCAAGAATTAATAGATTCTTTTGTAGAGGCCAGATACGTACAATTCATCAAACATGCCGCTGTACATTTGCAACAGTTGACATCTGTGAGAAGATCGCAAAAAGATAAGGAACTGTGTCCAAAGGTATATATATTTATTATTCAAGTTTGAAATGAAAAAAATATTATTACTTGAATTTTAATTAAGAAAAAAAAATCATTTTGTAGGATTATAAAAATATTGCACAAATTCTAATATTAAAAACGAATTATTTTATTGCAAAGATCTACTTAAAAGTAGACAATTTGACATTGGTATTTCTATGTTCATCAATAGGAAGACAAGAAGGATGAGACTACTGTTGCAACTATTGATAGCAATAAAGAAGTTTCTGCTCAATCAACAATTGAAGCTGATGAAGCGAAAAAAATCGTTGAAAGCATAACAGACTCTATTACTGGTGGTGAAAAACAAGAACGTAAGTCTTGTATTAAATATTTCAATTATTTTTGTTTAAACAAGAAAAATACAGAAACTAAAGTTTCATTATATTTCTTAAAAATATCTACTCGAAGAATTTAAGACTTCGGTCCCTTTTAACTGTTCAGGTCAAATAAAGTACATAATAAAAACAAAATTAAATAATATACTCAATAAAATAAAAACTTTCCTCTGATAAGATTTAATAGAAAAAAATTATATTTTAGTTGAAGAGAGTACGAAAGAAATAGTACGCAGAGCTGCAGCTGCAGTCGGCAGCTTACGTGATGCAGAATTCGATGTTAGATTTAATCCGGATGTTTATTCGCCTGGTGTTCGTCATCCAGATGCAAATGGAGTTGCTCTGAAGAAACAAAGACAACTGATCAGAGACGCTGCAGACTTTTTGCTAACAGTGCAACTTCCTACTTTTGTAAGTTTACTTTTTAATTTAGCCATATTAAGAATTTTAATTTTAAGTAAGAATTGTATCAAAATTGACTTAAATGAAATTTTCCTTTTTTAAATTAAAAAAATTACTAATCCAAAGACGTTTTTCTTCTTTATATGCGTTAGTAATTTCTCAAAACGGAAATAGGGAGTTTTCCGACGAAATTAATTTAAATTCAAAATAAATCTTTAACAATCGGCTATCCTTATAATCATTGGAGTTTAATAACTCTCTCAGGGTTGTCACGCAACCTGGAAACCTAGAAAACCTGGATATGTCAGGGAATTTTATAAACCTTGAAAAAACCTGTAAAAGTCAGGGAATTTTGATTTAAATTCTGGAAAATTATTGTTTTCTAAAGTTATTCTGCTTATTTTTGAAATCTAATTTTTCTTTAATTCAATTTTCTTAATTCAATTTTAAAAGAGTTGCCTTTACAATTTTTCTTCGCAATAATTCAATTATTTTCATAAATAATCAAATGTTTTTTTACAGAGATTCAATTATTTTCTTAAATAATGAAAAACTTTATAGATTTACAATTATTTTCATAAATAATATAACTCATCGCAGAATTTCAATTATTTTTAATACCTACAATTTTAATTCAATTTCTCGAAAAATGTAATTATTCGTAAAAATTTTTATTAAAATTCATCAAAGAAATTCAATTATTTTAAAAAGCGTTCCTATAATTTATTTATTAGAATTTAAGTATTATTGTTAATACATTTTTAATTAAATTTCTTGAAAGAATTAAAATATTTTCAAAAATTTTAATGAAATTCTTTTTAACAATTCGTCAGGTAGCGAAACCGATTTAAGCCCATTAAAAGTCAGTTGACGAAATTCGTCAGATAGCGAAATATTCATATTGCGGGAACTGACTGTATCTACTATTTCAATAAAATTTCACAAAAGAATTCAATTAGGTATTTAAAAAGAAATATTATTAAGAAATTCGTCTGAATAAAATAAAATAAAATTCTTCGCAAAAATTTAATTATGGTCAAAAGTTTGAAAAAATTATCGTCAAAATTTCAATTATCTTTATAAATATTAAAATTTTTCTTCAAAATTTAATTATTTTCAAAAATTTTAATGAAATTCTTTTTAACAAATTCAATTTTTTTTCAAAAATTCTAATTCATTCAATGATTTTCAATATCTATTTTAATAAAATTTTCCAAAAGAAATGAATTATTTTTAAAATTTTTTGATAAAATTTTAAGCAAACCTTTTATTATTTTTATAAATAACAAATATTTCACAGCAATTCAATTATGTATTTACAAATTTTTTTTTAAATTTCTTTGCAATAATTCCATTATTTTCAAAAATATTCAATTTATTTTCACAGAGATTCAATTATTTTTATAAATATTAAAGAACTTTTTCAAAAATTATTAAAAATAATAAAATGGAAGATGTTTAGTTAAAAACACGAAAAAAAATTCAATTTTGTAAAAGTTACAAATTATTGCAAAAATTCAATTATTTTCAAGAGTTATAATATTCTTCGCAAAAATAAAATATTGTTTAAAAGTACAGTCGGGCCTCCGAACTGTACGCTTTCAAACTGTACGCTGTCGCCAAAGTGTACGCTGGCTTTAGTTTTTAAGTGCTCCACAGTGTACGGTGGCGCTACTAAATTCAGTGCCGTATATTTGAAAATGTTGCCTTTTAAGGAAGAATCTGACGGACAGTCAAATCAAAAGTTATTCCAATGTCATAATTTCGTAATTTAAAAAAACAAATTAAATTTTAAATTCGTCTTGTTGGAAAGGCGAAGAATTTAATTTTGAATATTTAAAACAATTAAAAGTTTCATTTGAATAAAAATTACAATTTTCTGTCAATAAGAAACATTTGTTAAATTTTAGGTTATGTTACTTAAATCATTCATTATTGACAAAAAATTATCATTTTTATTTAAATATATATGTAAAATGTTCAAAATTTAGAAAATTAAATTCCTTACGCTTTTACCAAAAGGAATTTAAAATTTAATTTGACTTTTTTTTAAAATACGAAATTATGACATTAGACTAACTTTTGTTCCGATTGTTTATCAAATTCTTCCTTAAAATTAAAAATTTTACTGATTTAATCAAATTATTTTCTTTTCCATAATTTAGATAAATCAGTGGACTTCTTTTAATTTCATGAGGCAATACATTTTGGTTAAAAAATGTTAATTTTTCTAACATTTATAATTTTAAGAATAATATATATTTTTATGATTTTAATTAATTTTAAATCTAATAGTATATTAAGCAACAAGAGGAGAAAGGTAGCCATTTCTTTACGGTGATTTTTGTGACACGAGTGGAGGTCGAGGGCGCCCCGAGACCTCCACTCGTGTCACAAAAATCATCGTAAAGAAATTGGCTGCCTTTATTCTCGTGTTACTTACGATATTTTTTATTCCTAATGCAAAAAAGCGGCGATTTCAGATAGCAGACGACAGGGAGTAAAAGTCATTCACTTGTTCGATTTGTATGAAAATGGCGGCCGATTTCTCCCTTGGGCAAGAAAAATGCATGTGAACAGCTAATTTTCTTGCCCTTGGGAGAACACGGCCGCCATTTTCATACGGTCGAAGAAATGAACAGGGATGGGTAAATGTAACAAACTCGAGGTTTTCTACGTATGTTACATAAATGAGTAACATACGTAACAAATTGTCGCAAACGTAACAAACATCAAAGGTGCGTCATAACCTCACTTTTGTAAAATAATTATAAGATTAATAATTTATAGTTACATGTATAAAGTATATAAATTTCCAGTAGAATGATTTTGGATTCAATAAATTAAGTTATAAAAATTTAATGTAATAGATATTTGATCCTGTAGAAAGTCTTATAAACGTATAAATTAAGTAACGGATTTTTTATATTTTTAGGAACAGGAAAACAATCTAAAATGGAATTATCAAAAGAAGACTTTAGTCTGGGAATGTTGTTTTTGGATGCAACATTCCATTTACGGTTGTGGACCCTACTAAAAATAAAATCACAAAACGACAGAAATTTAGTCAGAATCTCTGATGATTTTAGGCTGCATTTGTTACGATTGCAGCCAGAGAACGTCAGGCTTGAGTCATGTTTAATCAGAAAGCTTCAAAAGTAGTCAGGTTTTTTATACAAAGTCGACACCCTTTTTTACCTGGAAAAAGGTCAACTGACCGTCATAAAATTAAAGGGAAATCTTTTTATTTGTTTATATTCATATTTATTTAAACATTATACTTGTTTTTCATCGACTTAGAATAATTCATCTAACAATATGCTCTTATTATGTATGCAATATATCCTTTAGAACTTAAATTCAAAAATGATATCTTTTTTTATTTATCAATTACGGTTTTCGAGATACGTTACAGTTTTCTTAAAAAAATGTTTCTTATAATAAATTTTAGATATTTGTAATTGTGGAGATTTCTAGATTTTGAATTTATATTCATTTCACTTGAAATTTTAAAAATGAAAAACTTTTGAGCAATAAAAATTAGGTTAGAAACCCGAAACTCGTAACAATAGACCCGCGATTCTATTGTGAAAAAAGGGCTACGCACAAATTTCAAGTTTTAACGATACTTTACATTTACCGACTACATTTCGGTGAGGGGCTGTAAATAAAAAAAAAGATTTCAATGCTCAATAATCGCAATCCATAAACATCAGGATTCAACAGGAGCATAAAAAATCCTTTAGTCAGAATTAACCAAAAGCTTCAGGAAACGTCAAAGTAGTCACAAAACATCAAAATTTCTGACGTTTTCTCTTTATTCCTGATTTTATTTTTAGCAGGGGAGTCAGATTTTTTAAAAAAATTTATTAATACTTTAAATCCAAACTACTTTCCTACTCTCCCGTTTTCTAATTTGGTAGGAGTCGTAGGAGTATAACTAAGTTGTTGAAAAAGGGTTTAGGCCAACGCAGAATAGATCTGTAACCGGAACCGCAATCGTAACCGTAAGCGTAAGAATGAGTTAGAGAAGGATAAACAATATACCTATCCTTCTTTAACTCATTCTTACGATTACGCTTACGATTGCGGTTCCGGTTACAGATCTATTCTGCGTTGGCCTTAAGAGGCCTTCCACCTCGTTTCATTTTAAAAACAATAATTTCCAGGACTAATGATTAATTAAAAGAATAATAATAAACAAGGCCAAGTGCCGGATTGGCGACAACCAGAGAAATTGAGGTTATGCTTACTTCTGACTGACGTCATGAAATGTAACATACGTAGGGTAGCAAACCAAACGAGTTACATACATGCGTAACATACGTAACAAACCCGGGTAACATACATGAAGTATGTTACGTACCCATCCCTGGAAATGAATGACTTTCCTCCCTGTCGGCTGCTATCAGAAAGCGCCGTTTTTGTGCATGTGGGATAAAAAATTATGTATATTATAGTCCCAGACGATAAATGAGGAGCAACAAGTTTTCAAAACTTGATAAATTCCTATTTTCTTATTATTTCGAGAAATCGAAATAAATGACTTTCCTGACATAACCACTCAGTTAATTTCAAAATAAAAAATTTGTAATATTTAATATTTGTAACAATGTTTTTATATTTAATACGTTCTGTTTTTAATCAAACTTTCACATAATAAAGTAACTTTAAGGTTTTGGTAATTTGTTCTAATAACAAACATAAAAATTAAAAGTCAACTTGGTTATGTCAAAAAGTTTTTAAATTGAAAATTCGCTGTTAATAAATTTTTTTTTAAATTTAACAGGGACATGACGATTTGTGAGATATTTAAATTATTAAATTTATGTTTATCTCGATTTTAAAAAAATTATATTTATAAACTTTTGAAAACTTGCTCCTTAAATATATAAGTGTACAGTCCTGAAAATTAAATAGTGGGGATGAGTTCGTCAGCGTACAGTTTGAAATCAAGTGGAGGGGTTATTTCTGGGGTACCGTACAGTTCTGCGGTCCGACTGTAATAAAATTCTTCTTAGTTAAGGTCATTTGGGGTAAATGTAAACGGAATATCTATTTTTCACCAAAAACATTAGTTTTTTTTGTTCAAAGGTAAAACGGACGGATTTCTTTTGCATGAACAATACTTTACTTCCCTAGAAAAATTTCATGAGGTACAAAAAAATATTGATGCACCTGAATCGCCAAAAACTGACTATTTACATTTACCCCGAGATTTTGAAATTTTCCTAAAATTCGGGGTAAATGTAAACACCACTGTAATTAAGCGAGGTTTAAGGGGATGTCAAAGTCGATGCGATTTTCCCATTGAAGCTCAATGCAAAAATCCAATCGACTTTGACATCCCCTTAAGAAACAAGTTATTTCAAGTATACTACTGTTTTAAGGGATGGAAGAACTGAAAAAAAATTCTTCGTAGATGTATAGTAAATCAACCAGTTGACTGATAATGTATCATATAAAATGAACAATCAACCATTACAAAATTAGTAATGTAAAAACTTGAATAACTTGAACAAATTTTAATAGATTTTCATTCAACTTAGTAAAAAGAAGTTTTTAAGGTTGCTGAATATGAATCTAAAATAGAATTTTTAAATTTCAAAATGGTGGATCCAATATGGCGGATGAAACTAAAAATATTTTTAAAAATTGATCAAAATTTGCTTGAATCTGGCTACTCGGGGGTTTTTGAGGTCGCTGAATACGAATTTGAAGTCAAATTTTAAATTTTTAAAATGGCGGATGAACCTAAAAATATTTTTAAAAATTGATCAAAAAAAAATTTTTTTTTTCAAAGAAGACCTAATTTCTTTTTCTATGTAATTTTACATTGCCAAAGTAATGAAATTGTGAAATAAAAGCAAATTTATTCAATTATTTTCTTTTAAAATGTAGTTCAAGTTCTGTTAACATTTACTCCGAGTTTTCGAATTCTCGGGGTAAATGTAAACACTTAATTATTTATTAACTAAATTGACGAAAATTAATTATTCTTAAAAATTTTATTAAAATTCGTTGATAGAATTCAATTATTTGAAAATTTGTTGATAACGATTCTTTATGGGAATTGAATTTTAAGAAACATCCAATTATTCAATAAATTACTTATTTTTGTATTTAAATAATTGAATTGTCGTAGAATTTTCTCACTATAATTGATTCAAATATGAATTTCAGTTAAAATTGTAGATAATTGAATTTTGATCTTTGAATGTTTGAATTTTTCATACTTTTAACTGAAAGTTGTGTAGATTTAATTTTTTTGAAAAAGTTCAATTGAATTTTTTTTAACCCATTAACGCCCACAAGGACGCAAAATGTACCATGATTTCACGACTCTTATTTTGTATGAAATAATTAGTTAAAAATTTTAGGAAATACCATTTCCGACGTAAAATTTATCGCTCTTTCTGAATATGAAGCTAAAATTTGTTTATAATTATCTCAAAAAAATTTATAACAATTTTATTGCAAAAAAGCACACTTTTTTATGAAAAAAAATTTTTCAATTATTATTTTGACATGGAAAACTAAAGAATAATTATGGTCTCCAAAGCACAAAATATCGCGTCCTCGAACTCTCAGCTATAAAAATCCATAATTACTTTTTATTAAATTCAAGATGGCGGATATGAAAATGGCCATTTTTCCAAAATGCAAAAGGCTGAAAAAAATTTTCGGGTAATGTTTTTCAAAAGTTATTAGATTTGATTGAAAATGGTTACTCGAGGGTTTTTGGGGTCGCTGATTACGAATCTGATGTTATTTTTTTTAAATTCAAAATGGCGGATCCAATATGGCGGACATATTTTTTAAAAAGTGATTGGATTTGCTTGAAAATAGTTACTCGGGGTTTTTTGCGAACGCTGATTACGAATCTGATGTTACTTTTTTAAAATTCAAAATGGCGGATCCAATATGGCGGACATATTTTTTAAAAAGTGATTGGATTTGCTTGAAAATAGTTACTCGGGGGTTTTTAGGGTCGCTGATTACGAATCTGATATCACTTTTTCAACATTCAAAATGGCGGATCCAATATGGCGGACAATTTTTTAAAAAGTAATTGTATTTGCTTGAAAATGGTCATTCCGGGGTTTTTGAGGATGCTGATTACGAATTTAACATCAGAACAATATTAGGTTTATCGTTGCTCTTACCACAAAGAGGTCGACGTGCAAAAAAGCCACTTTTTTAATTCTATTTAAAAATTTTTTTTTAATTTTGCCTCAAAAAATATAGCCACTATCATGCAAAGTGCAACAAAAGGACACAAAAATTGTGCATTCAATGTGGCATATATATGTGAGTCACTTGTTTTCAATCAAACCACGTGTTGTGTTAGTCTCTTTTTACCATTGTATAAAAAAATGTCATAAATATATAAGTGTCATAATTATCGTTGATTCAGATTTAGAAAGCAGAATTAAAATTTTATATTATTTATTTAAAAAAATATTAAAATATAGAAAAAAAAATTTTTAAATAAAAAAAAAACAATCAAAATTTTAAAAATAAAATAAAAAAGTAGCTTTTTTGCACGTCGACCTCCTTGTCGTAAGAGCTGGTCAACGTCATTAAAATTTTGTTGACGGGTTACGGACGTGGAGGATAAACATAATATTGTTCTGAAGTCAGATTCGTAAATAATATCCACAAAAGCCGCCGAATGACCATTTTGAAGCAAATGCAATTACTTTTTAAAAAATTATCAGCCATATTGGATCCACCATTTTTAGTTTTGAAGAAGTGACATCAGATTCGTAATCAGAATCCCCAAAAACCCCCGAATATCCACAAAAACCGCCGAATGACCATTTTGAAGCAAATCCAATCACTTTTTAAAAAATATGTCCGCCATATTGGATCCGCCATTTTAAATTTAAAAAAAATAACATCAGATTCGTAATCAGCGACCCCAAAAACCCCCGAGTAACCATTTTCAATCAAATCTAATAACTTTTGAAAAACATTACCAGAAAATTTTTTTCAGCCTTTTGCATTTTGGAAAAATGGCCATTTTCATATCCGCCATCTTGAATTTAATAAAAAGTAATTATGGATTTTTATAGCTGAGAGTTCGAGGACGCGATATTTTGTGCTTTGGAGACCATATTCTTTAGTTTTCCATGTCAAAATAATAATTGAAAAATATTTTTTTTCATAAAAAAGTGTTTTTTTGCAATAAAATTGTTGTAAATGTTTTTGAGATAATTATAAACAAATTTTAGCTTCATATTCAGAAAGAGCGATAAATTTTACGTCGGAAATGGTATTTTCTAAAATTTTTAACTAATTATTTCATACAAAATAAGAGTCGTGAAATCATGATACATTTTGCGTCCTGGTGGGCGTTAATGGGTTAAGTTATTTGAAGTTTGGGGCCATTCAAGTATTACGTAAGCATATTTTTCAGGTTTTTAGACCCCCCCCTCCCCCATGTAAGATTTTTTATATGCATTAGCGCCATTTTTTCTAATGAAAATAAGCAATAGCAGACCCCCCCTCCCCCTTAAATGCTTACGTAATACTTGAATGATTTGATTTTCTAATACTTGATTGAAGAATTTCCGAATAATCGATGAAATTTCGTAAAATTGAATTGTAAACAAAATGATTTGAAAATGTGGAAAGAAATGTTTTAAAAATTATTAATAATAATTAAAAATAATTGATTTAAAGAAGAATTTTAGTTAAGAATTTTGGAAAACAATAATTGAATTAAAATGATGAAAGTAATTTTGAATAAGTTACAGTAACAATATTCTTATAATATAAAATAATGATTTTATCAGTCGGTCATTTTTAATTATTTTAAAACATGAAGATATCGATCACTACGAGTCGAAGACTCGGAGTGATCAATTTCTTCATGTTTTATAAGAATTTTGTATAAGATGTTACTGTTTCATTATTATTATTGTTTTTAACAGTAACCAAAGCATCATAATATCTAGAAATAATTGAATTAATTTTATATTACCTATTTCTGCAGCGATATGTAGAGGAGCACCTAATTTCTACAGTTCTTTCATAACTCTATATTGACCACTATTGACAGCAACTTGTAATAATTTTTTTTATGAAAAAAGCGATCACCCTGTAAATGAGTTGTTGTCGTAATTAATTTCTTGAAGGTTGAATATAGTTTGTGCTCTTTAATTGTGAATAATATTGCTCAGTGCCTTTTTCCTTTTTTTATATAGATTCGCGAATGCTTGGATCACACTGCCGCAGCAATGGATGGAAGCACATTAGTGGAAGCCCTTCATGGAAGAGGAATCAACGTTCGTTATCTTGGAAAGTTAGCAGCCATGCTCACTAATGTTCCGCAATTACAATACCTGAATCGTATAGCAGTTTCTGAATTAATTTTGCGTTCGGCCAAACATATTTTTACTTCCTACATGCAGGTACTTGTATTTTTTGTCATTGATTAGTGTCCATTTTTATTCTATGTTTTATTTACCTACATTTATCGGCAGAATATTCCATTTAATTTTTCTTTATTTTATTCAATAAACTGTAAGTTTCCTAAACTGCATAATACAATATTAACATCATAAATAAATATCTAAAGAATTACATACAGTAATCTTACTGTTTTACACCTTTCTTAATCCAATTATTATTTTGAAACAGGGGACAGAATTAATGAGTTTATCAGCTGCAATAAGTCACTATTTGAACTGCTTCTTGTCATCTGCGCAGCCTATTCATCCTCAACAAAATTTAGAAGAGGTAACTACCTATCTAATTATTGTACATTATTTTTCAATAAATTTTATTTCACAGGCTTTGCACTTGATAATTAATTTTAAGTAAGTATCATTCAGTAAAAAAGTAGCTATTAAAATAACATTCGACGACTAAAAAACCTGTTTTAGACGATTCACAAAAATTACAAAAAATTGATTCTGCATTTTATTTTCCTGATTGTTTTCTAATTTCCATAAAAAATATTTACTTTTTTTCTCATAATGATAAAAACTTAAATTCTAAATTTTTACAAAATAGAATAGTTTCCTAAATTTTAATTTAAAATTCTTGAAAAGTACGATTTTATTTCAAAATAATTTTTAAAAGTAAAAAATAAAAATTCTAATTAAAGTTGACAAAATTTCCCAATAATTAGAAATAAAAATGTAATCTTTTTTAATTATTTAAGCGGGAATTTAACTATCTTCAAAACATTTAAAATTTATTTTTTTTAACAGGAATTAAAACTTTTTAAATGATTTCTATATAAAATCTTTTTGAAATTTAACAATTTCAAAAATTTATAGGGAGCGTTCACAAATGATGTCACGCTTTTGGGGGTAGGGAGGGTCATACTAAACGTGACACAAAGTATTTTTCTCATGTGAAATTGCAAAAATTGCGTTACAGGGGGTAGGGGGGGGGGGTTGAAAATCTCCGAAAATTGCGTGACATAATTTGTGAACGCTCCCATATCTGTAATTCTTCCAAAATTCAATTATTCTTTTATTGACATTTGTAATTAAAATTATTCAAAACTTTAATCATTTTTAAGAAAACAATAAATTAATAATTTTTTTAAAATAAATATTTCAATACTATAAAATTTTCAAAGATTTTTGAATTTTAATTATTTCTAAAAATTCATAACATAATGCTTCTAAAATTCAATTAGTGTCTAAAAATTTAAACTGAAATTCATTTTTAAATCAATTTTTATTAGAAAGTTCTACGAGAATTCAAATATTTAAATATAAAAATAAATAATTTATTAGATAATTAAATGTTTCTCATAATTGAATTTGTTGTCGATATATTAAATAAACGTAAACACCAGCGAATACACAGTAAAGAGATTTATTAAAGAAAAGTAATTATCGTCAAGAGACTTCTATACTATACAAGGCGTAGCCATGAACTGGCGATTGTTGTCACACGGAAGTAACTAGTGTCCTCTATATTAAGAGTTTGATTCGCGTAGTGCTTTAAATTAAAATATTCCGACAGAATTCTCATAAAGAATTTTATCAACAAATTTTTAAATAATTGAATTACTGAGAAAATTTTATTTAAATTATATTCAAAGTAATTGAATTTATCTAAAGTATTTTATTATTTATAAAAGCAGTTGAATTACCGCGAAGAATTTTATTACTTTTATGAGAAGAATTGAATTTTTACAAATTTTGTCGACGAATTTATTTAAAATTTTATTGAAAATAATTTAATTCTTATATAAAATTTGTGAAAATAATTCAATTTCTGCCAATAATTGAATTAAAATTTTTAAAAATAATTTAATTCTTGCAAGAAATTTTATTAAAATTGCATTGAAAATAATTAAATTACCAGGAAGAATTTTATAAATATTCTTTTAAATAATTGAATTCTTGTAAAAAATTTTTTATTTATGAAAATAATTGAATGTTTGCTAAGAATTTTATAAAAATTTAAATAATTGAATTCTTATGGAAGATACCTATTAAAATTATTTGAATTTCGAAAAAGTTTTGAAAATAATTGAATCGTTTCTAAGAATTTTATTAAAAGCTTTAAGAATAATTTTCTTATTTTAACTTTTAGCAAATTTAAAGTTGTGTAAATTCTGCAAAAAAGAAAAAAGAAGCTTTTAGTGTCACAAATCTAAAAAAAGTTATTCAAATAATAGCAAATCGTAAATAAAAATTAGTTAATAATAATCTTTATTAATAATCGTTGTACAGTTGTTATTTGCTTTTTGTATCCTAACTTTTTAAATAATTTTTCTTTTAAAATATTTTTTATTTTAAAATGAATGTATTGAAAACCATTAAATTCTTGCAATGAATTTTTTAAAAAAATTTGAAAATGATTGAATTTCTTCAAAGAATTTTATTAACATTTTTGAAAATCCTAATTAAATTTTTTTCAAGAATTTTATTAGAGCCTATATGAAAATAATTATATTTCTTTGAAGAATTTCTTTAGATTTTTTGAAAATAATGTTTTTTTTTAATAATTTAAATTCAAAATTTTAAAAATAATTGAATTGTTTTGAAGGACTATAAAAATTTTATGTAAAATTTATATAAAAGATTGTTATAAAATTGAATTTTTTAATGAAATTTTATTTAAATTGTATTAAAAATAATTTGAGTTTTGCAAAGAATTTTACTATTTATAAAAATAATAATTTTTGATTCGAAGAATTTATTAAATGTTTAGAAAATAATTGAATTTTTTTAAAAATTTTAGGATATCTATTAAAAATTTAGAAAATAATATAATTCTTTCGTAAAATTTTATTCAAATTTTGTTGAAAACAATTTATCTTTCCCGAGATTGTTATTATTTATGAAAATAATAATTGAATTGAATTATATTGAAATTTTTTAAAATATAGTCGATAATAATTAATTATGTACTTAATAGGAAATATCACGTTTCGCTCTCTAGAGTGCGCAACATTTGCTAGTATATTAATTATAAGTGCGAAGCCTGATTTTATTTAAAAATTTATTTTTTAGAAAACAAATATCAATTGTAATTTATTATTGTCTATTAATAATTTAGCTTCAAAGCAAAACAGCCAAGCGTCGCAATAAAAGAAAAGGAAGAAATAATGGTCCTCAACAGTCAGAAGTAGAATGGGCTTCTCTTACTCCAAAAGCGCTTTGGCAACAAATTAAAGCAGATTTAAAAAGTTACTACGATTGGGATACACCTACTCCAGAGTCTCTTGATGTGACTATGGAATATTTTCATTTGCAAAAAATCTCCCTTCTTCGAGGTTTTTGTGTGAAGACTGGCATTCAAATCTTGTTGCGAGAGTATAATTTCGAAAATAAAAATAGAGCGACTTTCTTTGAAGAGGACATACTCAACATTTTCCCAGTAGTTAAACATATCAATCCAAGGGTAAGTAATTGTAATCATATTTTTGTTATTATTAATCGTGCCAAATAAGCTTTTTCTTAATTAAATACTTAAAAAAAGACCAACTAATTGTTCTAAAATTTTATTTATAAGAAAAAAAATTAGAAATAAGATCTTACTGATTTAAACTATTAAAATTGCTTCTTATAGGCAAGTGATGCTTACAATTTTTATACTACTGGTCAAAGTAAAATTCAACAAGGTTATTTGAAGGACGGACATGAATTGATAAGCGAAGCTTTGAACCTACTGAATAATGTGTATGGAGCGATGCATCCTGAAATTGCGCAGTGCCTTAGAATGCTTGCAAGATTGAATTACATTATGGGTGATCATGGCGAAGCACTCGCCACTCAACAGAAAGCTGTTCTCATGTCAGAGAGAGTCAATGGCATTGATCATCCTTACACTATAATCGAATACGTAAGTTATCCCCTTTTTTGTATCTTTTAGGCTTTAAAATGAAAATCAAAGGTATTAAGTTCGATTGCTATTTTCTATTATCCAGTTATACTATATTTTTCTCTTCTCTTTAATTGATATTCATTTGTTTTCATTGTTGTTTGAATTCAGTCATAAGTGTTTCTTTTAGATTTTTGGATGCTCTATCAAGTAGTAAATAGAGTACACCAAATTAAATTAAAGCTTTGACAATAAACTAGATTGAATTGAGAGGCTGGATGCTATAATGTCTTACGCGCCATTCACTTAACATGGCGCGTAACACCTTATAGCATCCAGCCCCTCAATTATTTTGAGATTAAAAATTTGTCAATGAAGTAAATTTTGCAAATAAACGTTTAAAATAAAGTAATAATATTTTTTGTACAGATACACTTGGCATTGTACTCATTTGCCAATGGCCATGTCTCAGCATCTCTAAGATTATTGTACCGAGCTCGATATCTTGCATTATTGATTTGCGGTGAAGATCATCCCGAAGTGGCAATACTTGATGTAAGTTAAAAATTTCTGATTCTTTTCTTCTTTCATACTTCTCATTTTTGATAAATAATTAAAATAAAAATGTACTGCACGGAAAAAAATAGTTGCTTAGAGTTTGAATGATTAAAGGAAGAGTCTCGGACATAATAGAGAATTTATTAGAGTTTTCAATTTCTCTGTAACTTTTATAGAAATTCTGATACAAGAATTGACTACAACTTAAAAACCTAGTAGAGAAAAAAAACGCCGAATTATAGTGTAACTTTTTTTATAACCTTTTAAATTATTTATAGCTTTAGTTGAAGAGTCGCAAAAAACAGTTCAGAAAAAATAAGAATTATTTTAGTAAATAATAAAATTTTTATAGGAATTCAATTATATAATCAACAATTTTCATTAAATTTTTTTGAAAAAAATCAAGTAGGATATTTAAAATAATTTTTATAAATTTCTTCGAGGGAATTTTATTATTTTCAATGCAATTTTAATAAAATATCTTAAAGGAATTCAATTATTTTCAAAAATTTTAATAAAATTTTATAAGGTAACAATTGAATTATTTTCAATAAAATTTCAATTAAATTCGTCGACATAATTGAATTCTCGTGGAACTTTCTAATAAAAATTGATTTAAAAATGAATTTCAGTTAAAATTTTAGAAATAATTAAATATCAAAAGATTTTTAAATTTCTTTGAAAATTTTTATTGTTGTAAAACTGTATTAAAATCTACATTTTTAAAATATAAATTTATTGCTTTTTTAAACATGATTAAAGTTTTGAATAATTTTAAATAAAAATTTCACCTAAGAATTATTGAATTTTTGAAGAGTTTTACACTGTGCTGATCCAAAAAAAGTTAAACGAAAATGGACTTTTTTATTTTAACGGATTTTTACTTCTGATATTATGCAGAATTATCAATATATTTCAATTTTGTCAACTTTCCCCCTTTTTGGTGATTTGTCCCCCTTTTCACCTGTTTCTAATAAAAAAGTTTTTCTTTTTTTTTGAAATCTCCTTCAAAGTGTAATAATAAAATTTAGACTCAATGTTATAGAATTTAGTGCATTTTATTTTTTATTTAGATTATTTAACATAACAACATAATTTGACCAAGTGATAAATTCTATTGATGTTATAATTAAAATATTATTATTAATAGTTATTTCTAGAAAAACAAAAACATTAATTTTAAAGAATAAAATTGACAATCAAAATATTTATTTATTTTTATACAATTTACAAAATAATGATCTCAATCAACAATCACATGTCTGTTTGCCTCATAAACTATAAAATTACCACGAATTCTAATTCATAAATAGATGAACTTCAAAAGGTTTTAATTTGAAATTTTAGAAAATTACAATTTTGAATAAATTTAATTTGGAATTTTAAAGAACTTAGATTTTTGAAAAATTTTAATAATTCAATTTCTTCTGAAATTAGTTCAATTTTTAATATATAAATTTAATTAATTATTAAAATTAATGCATTTATAGTAGCATTTAGTTAAAAACACTAAAAAATTGAATTTTTAAGAAGTTACAAATGATTGTAGAAATTCAAGTATTTTCAAAAGCAATAACATTCTTCGTAAAAATTCAATTATGTTCAAAAATTAAAAATTACAGGAATTCTATTATTTACAAACTGATTATATAAATTTCTTCGCAATTATTCAATTATTTTCATCGATAATAAAATTTTTTACAAGAATTCATTTATTTTCATAAAAAATAAAATTCTTTTTAGAAATTCAGTTATCTTCCTAAATAATGAAAGTCATGACAGAATTTTAATTATTTTTCATAAAATTTTAATTAAATTCCTCAAAAAATGCAATTATTCTTAAAAATTTTATTAAAATTCGTCGAAAGAATTCAATTATCTAATAAATTATTTATTGTTGTATTTAAATAATTGAATTCTCTTAGAATTTTTTTGATAAAAATTGATTTAAAAATGAATTTTAATCAAAAATTTAAATAATAATTGAATATTAAAAGTATTCTAGCATGAATTTTTAGAAATAATTGAATTTTTAAATGGTTTCAAATTAAAATCTTTGAAAATCTGAATTTTCGTACTTTGAACTAACAATTTGTAGAACAATTTGTAGAAAATAATAATTGAATTGAAATAATGAAAATAATTTTGAAGAAATGACAGTAACAATATTCTTATACTTAATAAAAAATAATGATTTTACCCTCTGAGCAAAAGGATATCCCAGGGAGATCCCTGGGATATTTGTGACATCTCAGAGATATCCCTGGGATATCCAAATTTCCATCCCATGGGAGACTCGCGCGGGATATCCAAATGTTCTCCACACGGGATATGCTACGTGAGAAATAGTAATATGTTGAAAAATAATTAGAGCTTTAAAGAGTTGAAAAACCATTATTAAATTATAACCAGAATGAGAAAAAAATTATTTCAAAAATAAAAGATTATTTGACTAATATCAAAGTTATTTTTTGTGATTTAATAAACATTAGTTGAATTCAATAAAATGTCTTTTTAACGCTAAACATTTATTGTGTGTGGGTTTAAACTAATTTTGCTCAATTCATTTTGTCTATTACTGATAAATATTTATTGGTTAAAGATATTTACAAGAAACTAAAAAAATGTGAAAGTTAAACATATTAAACAGCAACACTTATAATCACACACTGCAAAACACACGCTTCTGATCTAATGACGCGACGCCATGGTCGCCATGACACTCAACAGAAGGGTAGGTCGACGCCTGCGCATGTAAGATTATATGAGTACATACATATAAAATTTTATTTCTTCTTGTTTAAAAGGAAAAATGTACTGGATTTTCAGTAATTAATCTAGTAATTCATGCATTATTTGTTTAGAATGTAGTTAGAATAAATATTTGAATAATTTAATATATCATATACCAAAAAAGTAACTAAAAAATCGTACACTTCAAGATGAATTTATAAATATATTTATTTTCCACTTTCGTTAATTTAATGCAACAAATATCTAAACAAACTTTTTCTAATTTAAATGCGTTAAATATAATTTCACAGCTCTTTGACACACACTCTTTGACACTTGGAACGATTGCATTTCGTTTCCTGCGCATGCGCTGACATATCCAACGCGGGATATCCCACACGGGATGACCCACGAAAGAAAACTTTGCACATCCCGTGGATATCCCAGGGATATCCAAATTTCCGTCCCGTGAGATATCTCATGGGATCTCCCTGAGATATCCTAGGGATATCACGGGATGGAAATGGGATATTCGCGGGATATCCCGTGCTGTGAGGGTATCACTCAGTCATCTTTAATTATTATAAGTTGTAGAATTTCAAGGAGGTTTGAATTTGAAATTTTTGAAAATCGTAATTCCTATGGAAACATAATAATTCTTAAATATTTATTTAAAAAAGAAGTTATTGATGTTTTTGAATCATTTTACAATTAAAGAAATTCGTAAATTAATGTTATTTTCTATCAAAGAATCCAAAACTGTAAGAAATTTAAGTATTAATACATTGTTAATATAATTTTTAACTCATTTTCATTTGTTGTTTCTTATTTTTTAAGAAAAAAAATCCCCTTTTCACCTTTTTTGAGAATAAAAGGTACTGTGACGCTTTTTTTTATATTTCATTGATTCAATTTTGAATTTTGAATTTGATAGATTTTAAACAAGTTTTAAGCAATGTAAAGACAAAAGTTGAAATACAATGTCAAAAACTTTCGATAGCTGGTTAATATTTAAAAATGTAATATAATTATTTTTGTACTTTTCCAGAGCAATATTTCTTTGATTCTACACGCTGTCGGAGAGTACGAATCATCTCTTCGATTTTTAGAACACGCTTTATCTCTAAATCGTCGTTATCATGGGCCAAGTTCCTTGAAGGTTGCCGTATCATATCATCTCGTGGCTCGCACTCAATCCTGCATGGGTGACTTCCGCGCTGCCCTCAACCACGAAAAGGAAACTTACGCCATTTATAAACAGCAGTTGGGCGAGGAACACGAAAAGACCAAAGAAAGTAGCGATTGCTTGAGACATTTAACTCAGCAGGCCGTTGTTTTACAAAAGAAGATGAACGAAATTTACACTGGCAAGTCTGGTGTCAGTTTACCACCAATACAAATTCAACCACCAAGTATGGGTTCAGTACTCGACATGCTCAACGTTATAAATGGTATTCTTTTTGTGCAAATTAGTCAGCAAGATATTGAAAATTTTAAGGCCGAAATAGAGAAGCGACAAAAGGAACAAACACCAGAAGCAACTGTGAAAGCCATTGAAAGTGAGAAGAAGGAAGATTCAATAAATGCAAATGAGGAAAAAATCACCGAGGCTACAGAAGAAACAAAATGCTTAGAGGAATTGAAAACCGCGATAGAAACATCAGTTGTTGCTGAGAGCTGAACTTTTTTCTAATAAAAAATAAAAAAGAAAAAGCCATATGTTTGTTTAACGTCCTAGTCTCAATAATAATGTTTGCATCGCTCCAAGATAATGAATTTGGAGAATTCACGAGTTCTCCCTACTGCAACGCTGTCACTAAGTGCAAAATTATTCTCTAAGTGCCACATCGTTGAGTGTTCTTGGGAGTTGCGACAACGAATTACAAACGCAAAGTTTTGCTAAAACCATCCTGCAAAACTTTAAAGTGTATGCTCTGATTTCAGCCCTAGTCCTTAAATTCATTCACTTACAATTATCAAACCAAAATCTTAGCAACTATTGAAAAAATTTATTAACAAATTTATTAACATTCTATCCAAATAATGAATTGTTTCATTCATTATGTTTTTAAAACTTTAAATAAGTGATTAGAAGAATTTAAATAATAGAAATGACCGTGGAAATTATTATTGATGATGTTTTGAACCAAAATTTACAATATAATATGTATTCTTAAGCTGTTATATCATCTTATATTTTAACTCTCCGCAGATTTTTTTTTTATAATTCTCCCGAAAATGTTTGCGAAAATTACCTTCACCATTTTGTAGCGGAAATTTTGTGAATATTTTCGAAAATTTGTAAAGGAAATTACTTCGAAATTCTACATGAAATTATCAGTTTTTTTGTATCATTATGCGAAAATTTTCTAAATTTTATTGAAAATTAGGAATTTTTTTCTGTACCACTTTGAAGGGAATTTTTTCAATAATGTTTGACACTTCTTTAATTATTTATATTAACAAACATTGACATGGTAGCATTGCACGAGTTTTTTTTTTGTTTCAAAAATAATTTGCCTCCATATTCCAATAAATTAAAGAGTGACGTTATAAGAAAATATCCGCGTTTAATATAAATAATTAAAAAACTGTGAGTTTCATAAAAAAAAGTTTTTTAAAATAAATAGTTCTTGTTAATCATAATGTGTAACAATTTTTATTTTATTTAAATTTTTAGTTGACTAGAAAATATAACTCGCGCGAGTCGTTTACTATTTCAGGGTCAATATATCTAAAAATAATATTCTCCATTTTCATAATTAGTACATTTATAAAGTTAAAATTAAACATGTAGTAAAGACAATTTAGATTTACAGTTTTCTTAAAATAAAACAAAATATGATTTCTTTGAAATTTATTACAAATTTTGATTTATTTCAACAATATTTACCCTCGGAGACTGTACTTGGTCTTTGAGACTCCTACCTTAAGTTTAAACGATTATTTTAAGAATTTATGGATTCTATGTTTAATTTATTACCTATAAATTTTATATTAAACTTGCATGGAAAACATGCGTTCAACATTCTACTTAACAAGGTTTAATATTTACTAATTGTTATTAGTTTATTTTCTAGTTATTTATATTTATATTATTATAGTATAATATTCAGGTCTTTTAAATATTAAAATTTATAACTACATCTAATTATCCGTGTTTTCCTGTACTAAATTATTCTCTGATAAATTTCGAATTATTATTTAGCCAATTTCAATTAACACTTTAACGCCCCCGGAAAGTCAGGAGAAAATTTAAAAAAAGAAAACATGTTCTTAGAGGTTTTTAGGGACATTGATTACGAATTCGAGGTCATCAGTTTGTCAAAATTCAAACTGGCGGATCCAACATGAAGGACAAATTTTTTAAAAAATTTATTGAATTAGCTTGAAACTTGATACTTGCTTTTACATTTAGGAATTCTTAGTAAATTAGGACATCGAAGTTCTTTGAAAGTGATCTCAGATCTAAAAATGAGTTTAACAAATAAGTATTTTGGTTTTTTAGTATTTAGTTTAATATACATTAAACTTCCAATGAATAATAAACGTCTACTTTTCACATTGAGCCACCCAAGTCTTTTCCGATAAGGAGCTTTTCAAGTTTATAATTCAATTCATCTGTCAGATTATTGTACACAGCACAGCAGTAATCAAAGTGATGCAATATAAGTGATTCATGCAGAAACGTGGTTATAAAATAAAAAATTGGAAAGTAATGTAATGCAAATCATATGTTAGCTGGGCCACTGTGTTCGCTCGATTCGCTCTGCTTGCTTCTGCCCTCTACTGGCGACTTGCACTATGTACCGATTGTGTACCGCATTGAAAGCAGCCTACGCCGCATTGGACTCATATTTGACAGTTCAACTTACCTTTTTTTCTTAAAGTTTCATTTTTACACTCACTATTAGTATTTTCTCATTCCTTTAACTCGCATATTTCTCCACTGACACTAATTATTTCCTCCTGTCACGTATTTTCGTTTTTTTAAAGCTTAAAACTTGCACCGCATTGGGACCCCTTGATTTCCGTATTCACCACGACACCCAATGCGGTATTTCGCGAATACCGCATTGGCAGGTTGGCACTTGCAATACGGAATCCCGTACCTCCCAATACTTTTTTTTTACAGGGAATAAATATAAATCAATTAAAAACATACGCACATTCAAATTAAAATGTATAAAGAAATCATTCACGGAAAAATACAATAATAAAAACAACAATAAATGAGAAACGAAAACAATTAAAATCAAGAATCCGCAATTCGCCGCACGACTAGATTCACTCTCTCTTCTTCAACCATCGAACATACATTTGAATAATATTGTACTTCGCTGCCTCGTCCTCAAGATCAAAATTATGTAGTTGCGTAAGTAACTGTTTGTTCCGCCACAGTATTTCAAATTCTAAAGTTTTTAGCGCCACTTATATGTGTCGCTTCCTACTCTTCCGCTTCCTGTCATTACGTTTTTTCTGTGTGTTCCTTGCCACATCGTGGACAGAGTAAAAATAGTTAAAAATGGGTAAAAAAGTGCATTCTACTGAAAAACTTCTTAAAAAAATTAAAAAACTGAAAAAAGAAGCAAAGAAGAGAAAAAGGAGAAACAAGAAAAGAGATTATTCGTCAGAATCGAGCAGTTCTAGCACGGCAACGTCAAGAAGCAGCAGAGAAAGGACGCTACAACGATCCCGATCGCGTAGTCCTATCCGAGACCCTCGGTCTAGAGGTAGGTCACGCACAATACGAGGAAAAAGAAGGAGCTCGAGCAACGAGAGATTCCGAAGAAACTCACCCGACAACTCGAACTCCTCAGCCAAAACTCTCAGAGGTACGTCCCGCAGACATGATAGTTCAGTAGAAGAACACAGCCATAGCGGAAGGCGTAGCCCAAGAGATTTAACAAGCAGGGAACCTTCCCCGCGAACCGATGAGGAAATTAACGACAGTGAAAGAAAGAAAGCGACATCACCTCCTAATTCTCAGGTCGTAAAAAAGAAAAATATGCATCAAAAGGATGGCGAAATTAATCCTTTGGAAAATAGCGAGGCGGACCCACAGTCAATAAAGAAGAATGCCAGTACTGAAGCTTCTGATCTAGCCTGTCTAGGTGGCGATCCCTTCGCAGCTGTCAAAACAAGTGCACCAATAAACAAAACATTGGCAGAAGTATGGCAAAAAATTATGCAGATAGGACTGATGAAAGAAGCTCGCAAAGACTTAGCTGAAAAGCACCCTCCAGCCGAAAACTGCTCTATGATGGAAGCCCCTATCTTGAATCCGGAATTAAAAAATATCATCGGATCGACAGGAGTAAAGAAAGATCAATTCCAAGTAGCTTCGCAAAACCAGTTGGGTGCAGCAATAAGTGCTTTGGGATCAGCGATAACCGAACTATTGTCTATTCAACAGCAGAAAAATCAGTCGATCTCAAATGATCAGCTGACTACGACTATATCTCTTCTAAGCGACTCCGGAAAACTTTTAACGGACCTCCATCATGAGATATCCCTCACCAGGAGAAATTTTATTACTTCGGGAAGAGATCCTAAATTAAAAATAGTTGCAGAAAACGCTCCAGTTGACAGGTTCTTGTTTGGTATAAATTTTGCGGAACAATTCAAAGCCGCAAGGGAAGTTGAGAAAGTAAGTAAGGAACTTTCTCAAACGACAACGAAGCAAATTAGGAAGAAGCCATTCCATCACCAATCTCGCTCACGACAATCTACATCAAGACCCAACGATTTAAACTGGAAGGGCCCTCCGAAGAGGAGTTACACGAACCCCAGGAGGGGAGGGCTACAACCATATCGGACAATGCGCAACCAACAACAGAGGAATTAAAGGTAAGCCAAATAGGTGGACGCCTATTTAATTATTACGATGCCTGGAAAAATTTAAAGCCAGACCAATTTATATTAAATTGCATTAAAGGGTATAAGCTTCCTTTTCTGAAAAACCCCATTCAAACGAAGCTTCCCATCAATCCAGAGTATTCGTCAGAACTTTTTCTGAAAACAAAAAATGCCATTGATAAATTAGAAAATAAAGGCGCAGTGGCCAGCTGTAAACCATGCAAAGGGCAATTTCTTTCGCCTTTCTTTTTAAGAGAAAAGCAAAATGGAGATGACAGGTTTATACTTAACCTTAAAGGTCTTAACTCATTTATAAACCGTCCCCACTTCAAAATGGAAGATATAAAAACTGCCCTAAAATTAATTAGACCCGGTTGTTACCTTGCATCTATTGATTTAAAAGACGGTTATTTACATATCCCAATTCACAAAAACGACAGAAAATACCTCAGATTCTTTTTTAACGATAAATATTATGAATTTACAGCGTTGCCATTTGGACTCTGCACTGCACCTTATATGTTCACAAAAATATTAAAGCCAGTCATGCAAAATCTTAGAGAAAAAGGAATAGTATTAGTAGTGTATCTAGACGATATTTTAATAATTGCTAGGTCGGAATATGAATGTAAAAACAATGTAAATATCACAAAGAGATTGCTAGAGAAACTAGGTTTTGTAATCAATACAGAAAAAAGTGCCTTAATGCCCTCACAAAAATGTAAATTTTTAGGTTTTTTATTAAACAGCGTATCATTTTCAGTGGAACTTCCACAAGAAAAGAGGTCGTCTATAGAAGCCCTAGCAAAACAATTTTGTAAAAAGAAATCCTTAAAAATAAGAGACCTCGCAAGATTTTTAGGCACCTTGGTAGCAGCGTGTCCAGCAATTCCCTACGGCTGGCTATACACGAAACGTTTAGAACGCGAAAAATTCCTTGCATTAAAAAAATCTAACAATGACTTCAACGAAAAGATGACCGTCACCGATGACGTTACTGACGACATAAAATGGTGGATAAAAACTGTGAAATCAGCAAGCAACCCAATCCGAACAAATTCCTACCAAAAAGTGATCTTTTCAGACGCATCCCTTTCAGGCTGGGGCAGTTTCTCTGAAGGTGAAAAAGCCCATGGCTGGTGGGATGAAGAAGAAAAAGAAGCCCACATAAATTACCTAGAGTTAAAAGCAGCATTCTATGGACTTAAATGTCACGCTAAAAAATGTCACGACTGCTCAATCCTGTTAAGAATAGACAACACTACGGCAATATCGTACATCAACAGAATGGGGGGGATTCAATACCCAAAACTAACGGAAATCACTAGGTCTATATGGAAATGGTGCGAAGATCGTAGGTTGTGGATTCATGCTTCTTATATAGAATCAAAAGAGAACAAGGAAGCAGATAAGCAATCAAGAATTGCACCGTCAGACACTGAGTGGGAATTAGCGGATTGGGCTTTCGAAGTTATTGTCGAAAGATTTGGTAAATGTGACATCGATTTATTCGCCTCAAGGGCTAATGCAAAATGCAAAGAATACGTCTCCTGGCATCGCGACCCTGACTCTGTAGCAGTAGACGCATTTACAATAAATTGGTCTGGCCTTCATTTTTACGCGTTTCCTCCATTTTGTCTTATATTACAAACCTTGCAAAAAATACAAGAGGACAAAGCTGAAGGAGTGGTGGTGGTGCCCCTGTGGCCCACACAACCGTGGTACCCTCTCTTTGTGCGCTTAATGATCTCAGAACAAATCTTATTTCAACCTAATACTAAATTATTATCTTGTCCTTTTAGAAAAACACATCCCCTTCACGAAACACTTACCCTGGTGGTAGGACACTTGTCAGGGAGGCTTTCATGAAGAGAGGAGCATCCGAAGAAGCAGCCGACGTCTTGCTGGCCTCAATCTCCGAGGGAACGTTGAAGCAATACGAGAAACCGATCGAGTCGTGGTGGTATTACACTCAAGAGCACCGCCTCCAAATACACGAATGCTCTACCTCATCAGCTCTAGACTTCTTTACAGAAATCTTTCACTCGGGAATTTCATATAGTACATTAAATATCTACAGAGCGGCAATATCGCTTCTTACGGCAAATCAATTGGGCAAAGACAATATCGTTTCGAGATACTTTAAAGGGGTCTCCTCGATAAATCCACCGAAACCGAAATATGAAGAGACATGGGACCCTCAAGTAGTTCTAACTTATCTGCAATCACTAGGTGAAAATGAAAAACTATCTTTAGAAATGATAACAAAAAAATTAGCGACAATATTAGCACTAATATCAGCACAAAGAGTGCAAACGTTAGCAGCTATTGAACTAAACAACATCAACACGGGGGTCGAGCCAATACAAATAAAAATAACATCGAGAATAAAAACTACAGGACGCAATAGGTTCCAACCGATTTTAGAAGTCCCAACATTTCCAGACAACAAGGTACTGTGTGCAGCAACAATATTAAAGAAATATATCGAGAAAACAAGAGAGATACGTGCAGTTTCTAAGGAAGAAAAACTCTTCCTGACTTACAAAAAACCGCACCACGCAGCTACTACACAAAGTATTAGTAGATGGATAAAAGACGTGCTGAATGAAAGCGGAATAGACACGGAAACCTTTTCCACACACAGCACCAGGCACGCTGCGACATCAGCAGCAGCGCGCAGAGGAGTCAACCTGGAAACCATCCGCAAGGCAGCAGGATGGACACCTAAATCGTCAGTATTCGCCAAATTTTACAATCGTCCAATTACAAAGAAATCAATATTTTCAGAGGCAATACTGCAATAAAAACGAGATGATTCTATTCTTTTTTCTTTATATTCCATTTCTTCATTTAATTACTCTAATTATATTCGGAAATTTGTTTCATTATCTTGTTCATAATAAATACAATTTTATTAAATAAAAAATAATGTAAACGGAGAATAGAGTAAATCACTTCATCACTCTAAACATCTACATAATTTTGATCTTGAGGACGAGGCAGCGAAGTACAATTAATAAATTGAACGAACTTACCCTAAGTGAAGTTCAATTGTAATTGTATGAGCTGCCTCGTCCGAAGAGATCAAACCCTCCCGTCCCTTGACTACCATCGAAGTCCCCAAAAATAACAAGTGATTTACTTTAAACTTTAAAAATGTAATGACAGGAAGCGGAAGAGTAGGAAGCGACACATATAAGTGGCGCTAAAAACTTTAGAATTTGAAATACTGTGGCGGAACAAACAGTTACTTACGCAACTACATAATTTTGATCTCTTCGGACGAGGCAGCTCATACAATTACAATTGAACTTCACTTAGGGTAAGTTCGTTCAATTTATTAATTTTGTTTCCTTTTATATGATGACATTTATTAGATTTGTGCACCCGAAATTATCAAGAGCACTTTAAATAAAATCGAGCACTTACAAGTTACCCACACAGTATAGAAAGTATTAATAGTAATCATCCTGTGGAGGAGCATGTAAGCTTTCCGATCAGTCCCAACTTCCAAGTCTTCACAACATTCCACTTATAGAATTCATAATCGTCATCTTATTATTCCCTTATTATTTGATGGTCAAAAACGGCCACACTTTATTTTAAACACATAAAAAAAGTAATATTTTATAAAACAATAAAAAATATACTAAAATTTAAACAAGTTTCAATTTAAAAGAAAAACTACCTTCCGTGTCCTCGGCCGGCACGTGAGAGCGTAGCCGTTGTTGAACCGGTGTCGACGAATTGCGAAAGTTAATTAATTAATTGATCGACTTCACGAATCAACACTAAACCCCCACCTCAGTCCGAATATTAGAGGACACGGGAATTATAATAATTTAAGAATACTTGGAAGTCGGACCGGTCATATTTGCCAGGAGCATTTGTATCGCTTCAAACATAAGTAATCACAGTTTTGTTGATCTTAACTGGGGGACAAGTATTTAAATTTAAACTATTTAGATTCCAAGTAGAACCAACAATCATTGAGTGAGTTTTGTTGATCATCAACATAGAACATATTCTTAGAGTGTTCAAGAACACACCTATTAAAATCATCAGTTAATATTAAAAATAGTAAAGGACCCAACACAGAACCACCCTATTGGAAGTAAAAATATAGAAAGAGATAAAGTTTTTTCTATCCCTTTGAAATAGCCACTTTGCATACCCGTAATATTATAGGGGAGAGTCTCCAGTTGTGAGACGGGTTTTATTTTTGACCCGTAAATTGTAAACGGCTAAGCGAAATTGTAAATAAAATACACCGTTCGAAAGGTAACAGAAATACGCAACTTTTATTAAAAGAAAGTATAGTGTTTCGATGAACTCAAAAAATTTTACGATACATTTTCCGAGCACATCGCTTTTTTAAAAAAAAAATGTCTCCAGTTGTGAGACACTCATTAAAAATTGCTAAAATTTAATAAGTTTGATATGAAACGTTATGTGTAGTAGAAATAATTAAATATATTAATCCTTATTAATAAAATCAGATGTCTGTCTGTACATTGCTTAAAACTTCAAAATGTTAACATGATTAGTTATTATGGACATCAGAGATTCCAAAAATGTTCTTAAAAAATTTAATGTATGTATGTATGTATGTATGTATGTTTGTCTGTCACAAAAACTTTGTACCCCAATCACACAAAAACATGTGAATCGATTTAAGTCCAACTTGGTAGGTTATTAGGTATTGACCCAAGGAAGGTTTATAAATTTACAGATTTAAAAAATATTAATTAGAACGGGAGATATTCAATTTTTTCAAAAAATTCAAAAAATCGAAAATTTCAAAATTTTTAATTTGTCATGGATTGCTTTTGAAGTTTATATACTTGAGTATTATATGTTATTTAGTCAGATTATAGCATAACTTTGCAAAAAATAAAGTCCTATAACTAATATGTAAGTATAAAAATGTTTTCAAAAAATCGAAAATTTCAAAATTTTACATTTTTTTATGGATTGCTTTTAAACTTTCTATATTTGAGTATTACATGTTATTTGGTCACATTTTAGCATAATTTTTCAAAAAATACTATTCTACAACTAAGATGTAAATATAAAAATATTTTCAAAAACTTGAAAAATGGAAAATTTCCAAATTTCACAATTTTTAATGGATAGCTTTTAAACTTTCTAAAAATGAATATTATATGTTATTTAGTCAGATTTTATCATAATTTTGCAAAAAATACTATCCTACAAGAAATATAAAAAAATTTTCAATATATCAAAAAATCGATACTAATTACTATATGAAGTATAATTCAGTAGTATTTTTGGAGTCTCTGATTAATATTTTGATGTCAAAATAGTGCAATTCAAAATTATTTATCAAATCAATCTAATATTTTCAAGAAGTTCAGAAATATTGAAAATGGAAATTTTTTATGATTAAAATGATTTCGCAGGATGTCAAGAATTGTAAGTCACCTGTGATACAATACAAGCATATTATGCCACTAGGCAAAAACTTACATGTTAAAACGTTTTTTCATTTTAACTCTAGATTTAACTTTAAGAGATGTTTTGAGCAATGTAAAGACAAAAGTTAACACGGTGTCTATTTTTGTTTAACAAAATTCCCTGCTTTGTCCAAACTTTTCACGGTTTATCTCTTTTTTGTCAAATTTAAATTTACTTGATTTTATCCATAAATAAATCTACAAATGGCTATAAAAATTTACTTATTTTATGAAAATACTGTTTCTTAAGTTCATATAAATATAGATTGTATTACTTGCTGTCGTACAGTTTTCTGTTTATACTAATACATTTAACTGGGTATCTACCAAACGGGAAAAACTGTAAAAAGCTGGGAATATGCCGAACCGGGAATTTTCCTATCAAATTAAGAAAAAGTTTCATTATATTAATTCGCTTTTAAAAAATTGCTTTTTACTTCAATTTTTATTGATGTATAATATTTATGAAAACAGACCCGAGTCAAAATTTAAGCCCTACTTTCAGCCTAAAATTTAGGTCTTATGTTAGGTTTTAGCAGTCGTAACGTAGGGTCTACTTGCGATACAATTAGTTCCAATTAGACTCTACTATAACTCCAAAAACTGTATGGAAAATTTAATTTTTTTAATACATTAATTAAAGTACTACAAATTGATAAATATTGTTCTCTGCATTTGAATTGGTTAAAATAACTAATTTGATAACAAAAAGTCAATCACTGATTCAAATAGTAATATTTTTCTACTAAAATAGCTATAATGGTAACTAATTATTATTTTTTTCCGGTCAAATTAAATTCCCTAGCTATTTCCTGATTTTCCAGATTGGTAGAAACTTAAATGTATTGGTAGAAACTAAAACCCGTCGAAGACGGGTACGACAGCTAGTAATATATATTATTATATACTAAATAATAATATTTATTCGCCAAAATATGACTATCAAATAAACACAATTTAATAGCTTCAACAAGAGCATTAAAATTGATTTCTTCTGAATCAATTGACTTTTTTCCACTTGACATCCCCAAAAATACTAGAAAAAAATCAAAACAACATTTAAATAGTATGCCTGCAAAGTCGTATTTTTTATGCTGCCCAGATGGGTGTTGACACCGTCTCACAACTGGTGATATGCTGTGTCTCACACCCAGAAATTGGCGCTATTTTGAAAAAGGAAAATTAAATTATTTTCAACCGTAGATTGGAACAATGCAATATTGCATCACAAAATATAAGGAAAACACTAAAAAAATGCATTACATTTACCTTTTCCAATTAATTAACTTGGAAAAAAAGTACTTTGCATTTATTGAAAAAACGCTTTTTAGTCGATTATCACACTCAGTGTTGGTATTTAACAAAAACAGTTTATATATCCGCTTGTACACGAAAAAGTTGGCTCATATAAAAAGAAATGTTTTTATATAAACCAATCGTCTTTTTAATATTGCATGTTAAAAAAAATTGACTGTCTCACAACTGGAGGTGTCTCACAACTGGAGACTCTCCCCTACCTTTTTATCTCCGAATTTCTATCTCTTTTTATACCCTATTATCCCCTATCTATCTCTTTGTATACCTATGGGTAATTCCACGTGAGATTTAGGTCGACCTCTTAAAATCGGCCAAAAATATTTTTTTTCTGTTCTGTATCGAAAAAAACAGATACGTATTTTTTTATTTTTGTTTTTTTTTGTTTTTTTGTTTTGTTTTTTTTGTTTTTTTTTTTCAATATTCAGTAGCTTATAAGTCCGAAAATATTGAATTTAGGAAAAAGTTGTCAAAGTATGAAAGTTTCAGTTTTCTCTCGACTTTTCGGAAATGTAAACAAAAAAATTTTTTTAAAATTTTTTATTAAAAAAATTTTTTTTTATAAACAAATTAATTTTTTCTAACTTTGGGCCGGATTTTTTTCTTTTTTTTTTAAATTTATTTATACCTTATAATATAGAGAAGATTTTCCAAAATGTCCCGAAATGGGCCTGATGTGTTAAATGAGTTTTAAAACATTTTCAAAAATCACTTGTAAGCATCACAGTGGGATTTTTTTATAATTAACATTTTAAAACTGTCTACAGCATATAATTTTTAATCTATTTAAGTGTTTTTTGTTTTGAATCGAAGGATCTACGCTGTAGACAGTTTTAAAAAGTTAATTGTAAAAAAAATCCCACTGTGATGCTTGCAAGTGATTTTTGAAAATGTTTTAAAACTCATTTAACACATCAGGCCCATTTCGGGACATTTTGAAAAATCTTCTCTATATTATTAGGTATAAATAAATTTTTAAAAAATGAAAAAAAATCCGGCCCAAAGTTAAAAAAAATTAATTTGGTTATAAAAAAAAAATTTTTTAATAAAAAATTAAAAGAAAAATTTTTTGTTCACATTTCTTAAAAGTCGAAAGAAAACTAAAACTTTTATTCTTTGACAACTTTTTTCTAAACTCAATATTTTCGGACTTATAAGCTACTGAATTTAGGTCTACAATTAAAAGTCCAAAATTTCGAAAATTCATAACTCGAAAATTTGGACAATTAAACAAAAATAAAAAAATACGTATCTGTTTTTTTTCAATACAGAATAGAAAAAAATATTTTTGGCCGATTTTAAGAGGTCGACTTAAATCTCACGTGGAATTGCCCCTATGTACCTTTATCTCTTTCTATTTCCTTTTGCTGCAAATTTTTATCCTTTTTAATATATAAAGAATTAATTAACCAATATTTTTTTGTTTTTTTTGTTTGTAGTCGGAAGTGGAAAA